CACAAATTGTAAACAGTGACTTGGGGGGGAAACAGGCTTAGAAACTTTGTCAACTAATCTTTATTTGGAATATGTTATAGAGGCTGAAAGTTATTGGATGATTTTTGTAATAATTAATGAAATGCCATCAGGTGGTTGTGTTTTTAACTATGGATTATTTTAGGCAAAAGGACACTAAAACAACTTCAGTCAAATGAGAACTATGCTATGTTGATAGTAAGACTCATTAAGAATCTTTGACATTTGATATGAACATAAGTAATGACTGTGGAAGAGATGCACGAAAGCTAATTGTAACCAATTGACACACTTTCTACAAGATGTAATGTAAGATGATGATTTTTTTGTGTTGTTTGTTTAATAAAAATAAAAATTTATTGCAAAAAAAAAAGACTAACACATCTTGATCCTACATTAATAATAAAGGCTTCTATGCAACCAATCGTGCAACAACAAAAGTAAAAACAACCCCAAAAGTGGGTTACAAATACAAATGCAAAGCACAATCAATTGACAATTAAAAATAGCAATGATATTGCCATCAAAATAATGTTTGTATCTGCAATAAATATACAGTGGCATTAGCAATAGTATTTAGGCTTAAATACTACCCCATAACTCTCTGGACAGTTTACAATATAAGCATTATTTGCATATTGCCCCCAACAATCTGGCTCATCATTTTACCAACTTCTGAAGGATGGAAGGCCAAATCAACCTTGAGGCCTGTCAGGATTGAATTCCAGACTGAGAGCAGAATTTGCGTGCTCCACCAGGACTCCAAACATATTCAGAGATATCCAGAATCATCAATTACTACAAAGAGTATTGCTATAAAGGTTCAGATGTTGAATTTGCACTGAAAAGCAGTTATTTCAGATAACATTATGGATACATAGGCAGTCTGTTGAATTTAGATAATATATCATATATACAGAGGTTCTGCCCTGTTGTAATAACAAATGTAAGTATTGAATACGAAAATTTATTATTTGTGTTAACAGCTCTTGCGTTATAAATACTTTCACTATAGTTCATTTTTCTACTTTGACTACACCTATTCTTTATTTCAAATATCAGATTTTTGTAAGAGGAAAATGATCGAATGAATACAGAGAAAATGAATATTGGACAACATATTAGTAATGAAAAGGTTATTTGTTGAATTATTTCTCTGAAACATGATTAGGACAAAGTGCATGAAGTATTAAATCAGCACAGTGACATCAGAAGTGATAATGATGTACTCTATGAGAAGATCACAGAAAACTGAAAAGAGGAGTATAAACAGTATAAAGAAAGCACAATTCCACCCTTTGAGCTGATTTTTCATGATTTTAGGAAGAGCAAATACTCAGAAATATTTACGGGTGAATAAAGGAAAAACCAATTTGGTGTCTCACTGGACGCCCCCTGCTTTTTCAAAAAATGATGTTCAATAACAACCAAGAGGAACAGATCTCTTTCCCTTGTGAGATCCATTATCTCTGATTAATTTCACATGTTTTATAGAATGAGTCTCAGAAAAGCAACTGTTCCATTACATTCTGAGCTAAATATTGATGGGACATTATCAGACCTTTCAAATAGAAACCTAATGACAAAGTTAGCAGGGCCAATTCATAGCCAGCTAAGACTTTTATTAGTGTGTATGATCAATTCAAATGTATTCCTATCTCACAAAATAATTGGCTCACAAACATAGAAGGCTTTCAGAGCTAGTGAACTTTAGTTTAGGGAGAAGAAAATGTTTCAGGAGCTGATTGGGTATGGGATCAAAGAGCAGTAAGCAAGTTAAACTTGCAGAAATGAACTATATGGCTCTGTTTTATCTGCCTGCACAATATCATCTTATATCATCCAGGTTGGGTAGCATGTAATGACACCAAAGGCTTTCATGCTTGGAGACTATCAAAAAAATACTTATTGAATAGTCTCTCTTATGCAGGAAGTGGGGAACTGGTCTAATCTATTATACCTGGAAATTGGTCACTTTCCTAACCAGATTTACATCAAGCAGGTCTTAGTGAATCTTTACTAAAGCTGTTATTTATGATATTCTTCAAATGCCATTTTTGGATTACAATATTTTTGTGTAAGCATGAGAATAACTTAAGTACATCTTTGGAAGATGGTGGTTCATCACCTTTTTCATATCCATACAAAATATAGAAGGATCCAGAATCTGTGTCAATTAGACATTCACTGGTCTGGCCTGGGAGTTGACCCTTAATCAACATAAAAAAAGACATCTTGGCACTCTGCATGAGGCTACTCCTGAAGAGCATTCAGAAGCTTCAACTGGTACACATATAGCTATCGGTACAAACATAGAAAATGGTATCCCCTGATGCAATACATATATTGTAATAGCTGCATCAATTGCCAGTATGTTACCAGATGCAATTCAAGGTGCTGGTTGTCACCCTTAAAGCCCTGGGTTTGGCATTTTGTAAGTCTTTAAAAACTTGGCTATGTCCTTAGGTCTGGAACCCTGAATACATTTAACACCCTGCTTCTTCTTTTTTACTCACAATTATTATGATAATTTTATTGGCTGCTGTATATATTTATTTTGTGCTGTTTTTAAAATATTTATAAAATTGTTGGCAGCCTAGAATAAGTTGGTTGAGAAGGCTAACTAAATTCTACTGCCACTAAGTAGAATAGGCACTGCCACTTGGGACACCCAGCTCTGTCCCCACTACTGTTGATCATACCTCAAGTCTTCTACTTGACATAATCCTATTATCCTGCTTAACAATGACCCAGCACTGTAAAGAAAGCAACTGATTAGGCAATCATATTATTTTTTAATGTTGGGGTTGTTCCATTAATGTTCAAATTTTTGTGTGCTTGACTGCATTGCTCCCTGGCCTCATTAGCACCTCATTGAACAAGGATGAGCCATTGAGTTTTATGTACACATCTTGTATTGAGAATGAAAACATTCTTAATGTTGCTTTCAGATTTGTTGTACTTTTTTCATGTTTCCTTTTATTGGGGAGAGAGGGGGGAGGAGGGAGGGAGAGAGAGAAAGAGAGAGAGAGAGAGAGAATGAGAGAGAGAGAGAGAGAGAGAGAGAGAGAAACCACTAACCAACCTAGCACATAATTTGTCCTTTGTGGATACAACATTTAGGACAGTGCAGCCATTTCTGATAGTAAATGCTTCTGCGAAACAGCAAGTCTACAGAGGAGGGCTTTAGGAGCAACATTCCCAAAAGGAGATGGTGGATTCTTTGACAATAGACTTCCCTTGCCTGAGGCCCTGTTCCAGAAGTATCCCAGCAGGAATAATGAAAAGCTGAAATAAGGCAAAAGATTATGGTGAAAAACATATACTGGCAGCCTGAAGAGAAGGATGAACAGAGGGGGTTGAGGCTAGGAGAATTTGAAATAGTAGTGATAGCACATTTGAGGGGCCAAGTAGTATTCTTAAGATAGTAGGCACAATGGGGTATTTTATTATTTAATAAATAGAATTGTTACTTCCCACAAACTGCTAGGTTCATGAACCTATTCACGAATGTATAAATGTTCTCTGTGCTAATACATAAATGTTTTAATTAGGAAATACGTGCAATAGATCTTTTCAGCTCTTTCAAATATCTTATCATAAAAGTGTTAAAATAGTGCGTAGTTCTGTGATTGTGTAGCCATGAACAAATAAATATGAATTTCACAACTTGTCTTAAAGATTTTCCACATTCACTCAAATTATATACTGCCAGAAAAAATGACTATTAAATGTTGTGCTATGGCTTTGGTGCTCATAATAGTTTTGCTGTTTACTGGGTGTATTTCTTTCACCATAATTTTTTCTCTCTTTCTTCCTTTCCCCTCTTTTCTAAAGTGTGTTTGTTTGTTTATTAGATTTATTTATTATATTTGTTTATTTATTATATTTGTTTATTTATTATATTTGTTTATTTATTATATTTGTTTATTTATTATATTTGTTTATCTTTTATATTTGTTTATCTTTTATATTTGTTTATGAGATTTATATTGCCGCCTATTCACATATGGAGACTCAAGGTGGNAGCCCCAAAATAATATAAGTTCGTCCACTCACCAGCGCAACGCGGTGGCTCAGTGGCTAAGACACTGAGTTTGTTGATCAGAAAGGTCGGCAGTTCGAATCCCTAGCGCCACATAACGGCATGAGCTCCCGTTACTTGTCCCAGCTTCTGCCAACCTAGCAGTTCGAAAGCATAGAAAAATGCAAGTAGAAAAATAGGGACCACCATTAGAAGGAAACAGCATTCCATGCAGCTTTGGTGTTTAGTCATGCCGGCCACATAACCACAGAGACGTCTTCGGACAGCGCTGGCTCTTTGGCTTTGAAACGGTGATGAGCACTGCTCCCTAGAGGTGGGAATGACTAGCACATATGTGCAAGGGGAACTTATCTTTATCTTCTACCTCTCACCAGACCAACTTGTCAGCTGTCCTAAAACCGATTGCTAATTCATTTCTCTTCTGATTCCTAAATAAATCGAGACCTCCTTTCCTGCTGCCTGCTTCCATTTCATTTTTTCCCAGCGTCTTTCTCCCAGCTTGGAACCGG